ACATAATATCAATATATATATATATATATATATATATATATATATATATAAAGTCTTCATGTACAATTCAATATCAATTATGCCTTGAATTTTGTTTTATTAAAATTAACATTCTTAATATCATGATATGAATATAAACATAAATGTAAAAATAAAGCAATTAAAGAAATTCATAAGCATTATCATGTGAAAATTTCATCAATAACCATAACATTTGAAAGTGCAATATTAACTTAATTTAAATTCATGAACTTAATTTAAATGCAAATACTTACAGCACAAATATCACAAACCACACCGATGCCGCTTAAGCTCGAGGTGTCATTGTAATTAACACCTAAGTATAAAAGCAAATATTGTTACCTAACCTTAATCATATCATATTTCATTGAAAGATTAATTTAATTTTTATTTTTGAAATTAAATAATTTTCTAATTATTACAACACCCTAATTCGCTTAAATCCATAATTTATCCAAAAATAAGCATTCAATAATTTCCTAATTAAAATAAAATTAATTAAAATTTTTGGATTTATTAAAAACACTAAATTTTGAAAACCCAAAATTCATTAATTTCATCAAATCATCATGCTGAACATCCTCCTAAACCTACTTAATAATTAGGTAAATTAAATTTTGAATTTATTTAATTTAAAAATTATGAAAAATAATTTTTTTAAACCTAAAATTTTACTATTAAAAATCCTCCTAATGTCATTATCAACAATAATCGTAAAAAGATTTTCTTTAAAATTTGAAAGTATGTGAACCCTAATTTTCCAATTTCAAAAATTTTTTGGGGAAACTTTATTTTTACTGTTAAAACATCTTCCCTATCCTTCCATATTGATTTCGAGAAGAGATTTTGAAAGAACAACCGTTTTCGGAGAAACCCTAAAATTTTCCTTTTAGAAAAATTTTACAAGAGATGGAAAAATGCTTAAATTAAATATACCTTCTTCTTCCCCTACGATTTCCCCAAATTCCTTCATCGGAAACTACCACTGGAGCCGCCGTCGAAGAACTCCCATCGCCTCCCTCTCCTATCCCGCTTCTCTCTTCACACGGTTCGGTCGAAAAAATAATGGGGACCGAATGAATTTTGGTCCCCTATTAAGAGTGTGATGTTAGGGTTATTCCAATTTACCTAATTGCCCGTTCATGACAGTATATCACTTTAA